CTCACTCTGTCTGCCGTGCTCGTCTCGCGTGCCGTGATCTACCATAACTGCTACGCCCGTCCCGCCTGCTGCGCCCTGCCCGCCTATACGCTTCCGCTTCCGCTATGGCGACCCCTAGGGTCCTTCGCTTTGATGCCGAGGGTAGGCCCCTCGAATTCTTTATCTGGCTCCAGCGTGCTCAGCGTCTCCTAGAGAGTTAGGTACAGGCGAGCGAGTCCCTGTGGGCGCACGCTTCCAGTGAACTCCGCGTGCCTCCCGATCCTGATACCCTATGTCTTGACACTACCCCTGAGGACAGAGAGCGTGTTGCGCGTCAGCGTGCTGACTTGACAGCCTAGAGATCGCGCGACGCTGCCGCCTGCATTGCCCTCAGCAGCCTCCTCCCTGAGTCTGAGGAGGTCAGGTTCGCACGGCTAGTGAGTTCTTGACTGCGATCAAGGCCCGCTACGCTACTCCCACCGCTGTTTCTCTTGGTCGCCTGTTCCCCCCGTTCCTGTTTCCTGACCTCGCCTCGTTTGAGCGCTTTGCTGACTTGATTGCTCACCTGCACTCGCTCGATTTTAGCTACCGCGCTGCCTGCACTGCCACACAACTTGCACTGCTCCCTCCCCCCATGACGATTACAATCTATTTCATCGCCACTAGCCTCCCTGACCGCGTGCCTCGGTTTGTGACGCGCTTCTTCTGAAGCACCCTAGCGAGCTCACTATCGAGGTCCTTGAGTCTGCCCTCAAGGACGTTGAGAGCAACCTCCGCTCGGTAGCCTCCGCCTCTGGCATTGTGCCCCCTCCACTGTTTCACGGGTGCACTGTTCCTCAGCTGCCCACCTTTACCACCTCCCTCGCCACTGCTGCTGCTGATGTGACCGCAGCTGCCGTTACGACTTCTTCGTGGTCTAGGGGTAGGCGTGGCGGGACGGGCGGTCAGGGTGCGGGCGGTGGTGGCGGAGGCGGCGGAGGTGACGTGGCGAGCGGCGGTGGCGGGAGTGCAGGAGTTGGAGGAGCGCCTCGTGCAGCGGCTAGTGTCTCCCCTACTGCAGCTGGTGGAGGTGACGCTAGGGTACGTCAGGCACCTGCTGGACTGCCACCTGCAGGTGCTGGAGTGGAGGCTTGGTACGTGACTCGGCGATAGCAGCAGCATCAGCCACTCCTCTCGCAGCAGCCGCAGCAACAGCAGAGGCAGAGGCAGGTGCCGGAGCAGGGGTCAGGACCGCGTCAGCTGTCGCGCAGTGTTGTCCACTCGAGTGTTGTTAGCTTAGGTGCTAGTTTAGGTCCTTGTGTCGACTCTAGTTCTGGAGCTGTTCAGGAGGACGCTTCGTTGTCTTTCACTCTGGACTCTGGAGCTTCGCACTATTTCTTCCGCGACCGCACGACGCTTACCCCGCTTTCTACTCCGGTCTCTGTAGCATAGGCTGATCCCACTTCAGGACCAGTCACTGCTCGCTACACTACTACGCTTCCGTGCCTGGCTGTTCCCTCCAATTCTCTGACCGGCTTCCACGTCCCTCGTTCTCGAGGAACTTGGCGGGCTTGAGGTCGCTCGTGAGTCAGCACGTGGGTGTGTGGATTGAGCCTTCTGACGAGATTGCGGTTTGTGTCGACGGGGACACATACGCGCCTCTCGCCACCTTTACCGCTGAGCTGGGATCTGGTCTCTACACACTTCACACTGGCCCCCGAGGGCAGCAGCAGCGGCAGCACCAGCAGCAGCAGCAGCAGGTGCAGCCACTGCAGCCACAGCAGCAGCTGCCCCCGGCACATGTCGCAGCCCTCCATCAGGTCCTCGCGTCTCACGAGCCGCCTCCCCCCAAGTAGCTGTGTCTAGTAGGGTTCAAGTGTCTGTCATTGTTGCTCCGTCTTGCTCGTGTTGGTTGTCAACGCGAGTTGTGTTAGGCCCCGTCCTCGCTTGGGCGGAGCCGACCTCGTGGTCGGGTGTACGGGGGAGTGCAGCCGACCTGCTACAGTGGGCGAGCTGGACGACGAGTGTGGTCGACCTGCGCGGGGGCCACTGCACTGGCGCCGACTTCTGGGCGCAGACTTTGGGGTGGTCGTCCTCGTCGTCGACCTGATTTGGTGGTTGACGAAGGAGGGACGCCGATGTCGACCTGGATGGGGGGGTCTGGTGACGCCGAGCTGGAGGGCGTCATGTAGCAGGACGCCGAGTAGCTAGGCGCCAAGTGTGGGGAGACGACCTGGCGAGGCCGGCCTGGCAAGGCGCCGACTTTAGGGCGCCGACCTTGGGTGGCCGACGACTTGGCGAAGTCGGCGGCCTAGTCCCGAAGTGATCGACGAGGGGTTGCATACCTATCGGCATCGACCTGGTTGCCTACTCGACCGTGTCACCCAAGCAACGAACTTTTACGGAAGCGTGTGAAGGTCGCTGATGTGGTTTTTGCGAGGCCGACCTTGGAAGTGGTATTGTGAGGCCGACGTGGCTGGTTGGCGCAATCGCTGGTGTGGGGTCTGCTAGTCGTCTGCGTTGGGCACGTGACAACTGTCGGAATGTTATTATCTAGCCTGTAGTGGGGTGCTCTATAGCGAGTACAACCCTGTTAGGGTTTGCTATATGTATCCCAACTGCTGCTAGTGAAACCCCTCCTTTGTTCATTTCTCTCTTGCCTAGCTAGCTAAACCCTAGCTATGGCTCCTCACTATGCTCACTATTCTCACAACAACGCGTGGTGCACCAACCAGCTGCGCACATCTGCGAAGCAGGTGCTTCGTTGTCCTGCAGGTGCAATGCTGTGCAGCCGAATTACTGCAGCGTTGGCACGCCGTAGACTTGCAACGTTGGCAAGCCGCAACTTTGCTCTGCTGGAGTGCAGACGACCAAGTCGTGTTGGCATGCGGTCGACCGTGCTGCGCTGAAGGTAGACGAGCACCTTCGCTAGGTCTGATATTGTCTTGCATGCCAATGTTGTTTCCATTATTCTGGATCATTGTTGTGATGTTTTCCTAGTGGAACTCTTGCAAATTCTCCCTGTGAACTAGCAAGCACCGTGAACATGAGGAAACAACGAAGGAACAAACGTAGAGATTACACGAGCATCCGTACCTAGCCCGTAGTCTAGCCCCCGTTTATCTCTGCATGGTGCGGTGAGCATGGACGGCACCGCGACGTAGTTTTCAGTCTGGTCGACTTAGTCCCACTTACCTAAGTTGTTCGTAGGCCGGCAACTGTGCGTTAGTCACCACCATGGTTGGCGTAGGTGACACGTCGGTGGTGGACACCCTGGAGGCACGTCTGGAGAACGCGAGGAGACGTCACGAGGCTAACGAGTATGGCAACCTGCCATGGGCGGTCGTCGAGGCTGCCATCCGTACCGTGTGGGCAACGGAGCACCCTTCTTGGCCTGTCTCTCCTTGACCGGTGAACACCGAGGGCAGCGTCAAAGCGGGCGTCAACGCAGGTGTGAGAGTACGACGGCTTATGCTAGCTTTACTAGCTTGCCTGGACTTTATTACGCATTATCTAGCTTAGCTTGATTTTGCTTTGCTTGCTTTTGCTTGATTTCCTAGGTTCCTTGCTTTTGCTATAGTTATTATAGTTATAGCACCGAACTAGGTTGAGCGCCACCAAATTGCCTTCTACCGAATTCGGGAAGGACCCGCTTGGGACGCTTCGCGACCCGCGGAACCTTCTAGTAACAACCGGGTTACTGCCTTTGTGTCGAGCCTATATATAGTCTCGCCTTGTACCCACGTGAATCATTCAATAGATTTATCTTTCCTGAACCAGATCCTCACACTTGGTAATCAGAGCATGTTTGCACGCGAGGTCTTCAACCGTTTAGTTCCGGCCTTTAAAAACCGCAGGGGCGACGACGAAAGCGCCGATACGGGTATGTAAAACAAGTTCTGCGCAATTTTTCTAAGTCCCCCTTGATTTGGTTTTCGAACACCACTCAGATATGTCAAACTTATATGATCTAGCCTGTGTAGGCTGTAGCGAGTTAGATACTAAGGGGTACACAATTCTAGGGTTAAATATTTGTATCACTTTCATTCCTTTGTCAATCCATTCTCGTTCTAAGTTTCTCATGGTATTGAGCAGGTTCCCTAGTGGGAACTGTCCTAGGGCCCACCAAGATCGAACTTTTTTTTTTTTTTTCCTGCCCGAGGCGCGCCTAGTGTTCTGCCCTTAGCGGCCCGTCACGCCCTCCTTAGCGACCCCCTCGCGCACTCCTTAGCGGCCCCGTCGCGCCCTCCTTAGCGGCCCGTCGCGCCGCCCTTAGCGGCCCCGTCGCCGCCTCTGCCGGCCTCGTTGCCGCCCTTGACGGCCCCGTCGCCACCCCTACCGGCCTCGTTGCCGCCCCTGACGGCCCCGACGCCGCCTCCCTCTTTCAGCGGCCCCGTCGCCGCCCTTTCAGCGGCCCCGTCGCCACCCTCTCAGCGGCCCTGTCGCCGCCCTTTCAGCGGCCCCGTCGCCGCCTCTTAGCGGCTTCGTCGCCCCCCTTCAGCGGCCCCGTCACCGCCCTTTTCAGCGGCCCCGTCGCCGCCCCTTAGCGGCTTCGTTGCCGCCCTTCAGCGGCCCCGTCGCCGCCCTTTCAGCGGCCCCGTCGCCGCCTCTTAGCGGCTTCGTCGCCGCCCTTCAGCGGCCCCGTCGCCGCCCTCCAGCGGCCCCGTCGCCCCCCCTTTCCGTGGCCCCGTCGCCGCCCCTTTCCGCGGCCCCGTCGCCGCCCCTACTCGGCCTCGTCGCCTCCCCCTTTCGGCGGCCTCGTCGCCGCCCTTCAGCGGCCCCATCGCGCTCCTTCGCGGCAGCGACGCCGCCCTTCACAGCCCCGCCGAGCCGCCTTCGCTGCCGAGCCGCCTGTGCCGCCGAGCCGCACTACAGCCGAGCCGCCGAGCCGCCGGGCCGCCGCAACCGAGACGCCGCCGTCACTGCAGTAGCGGCCCATTCCTGCCCGCCTGCACCGGACCGCCTCACTTGCCTGGTAAGCGCAACGCCTCTACCACTGCACTGCCCTACCCCACTGTGCTCACTGCCTGTCTACTGCTGTCATGGCCACCCCCAGTGTTCTCACCTTTGACGCTGAGGGTCGGGCTGTTGACTTTGAGGTCTAGGTAGATGATCTGCAGCTTTTCCTCCAGTGCGATAGGGCAGACGGTCTCTCCCTGTTTGACCTCACTTCTGGTGCCTCTCCTGCCCATACTGCTGATGCTGACACCACTGTTCGCTCACAGTGGGCCACGCGCGATGCTGCTACCCGCCTTGCTGTGCGCCGCCACTTACCGACCGCTGAGCGTGCGCATTTTAGTCAGTACAAGAGTGCTAAGACCTTGTACGACACTGTAGTTGCACGCTACTCTTCCCCTGCCACTTCTGCTCTTAGCCGCGTCATACTGCCGTTCCTCTTCCCTGACCTCGCCGCTTTTCCCACAGTCGCTGACCTCATTACACACCTTCGCACTAGTGACATTCGCTACCGCGCTGCGCTTCCTGCTGAGTTCTGCGCCAAGAACCCCCCCCCTATGTACATCACCCTCTACTACATAGTCACCCGGCTCCCTGACACCCTTCGTGTCAGAATGTTATAATTGTCTAGCCTGCAGTGCGGTACTCTATAGCGAGTACAACCCAATTAGGGTTTCCTATATGTATGCCAACTGCTGCTAGTGCAACCACTCCTCTCTTCTTTATTCCTCATTCTTCACACTTCGCTCGGTCAGGGACCACTTCCTCTCTGTTTGCCCCACCAATCTCACCGTTGACCTCCTCGAGGAGCGCCTCCTAGCAGCAGAGAAGAGTATAGTCGTAATAGGAGCCTCTCGTGGTGACCCTCGCACCCCTATCTTTGAGGGGTGCTCCCCCTCCCCCCTCTTGCCCTCTGTTGCCTATGCTGCTGCGGCCGACCTCGTTGGTCTTGAGTCGGTCGGCGCGGCGTCTGCCCCTAGCGGGAGACGTTGCTCAGGCAAGGGCAAGGGGGGCAAGGGCGCTAGAGGAGCTGGCGGGGGCGGTGGAGGCGGCGGTGGAGGCGGCGGAGGGGGTGGGGGTGGCAGTGGGAGTGGTGGCGGTGGTGGGGGCGCTAGTGGCGGCAGTGGAGGCGGAGGAGGCGGCGGTGGTGGCGGTGCGGGCGGAGGTGGCGGAGGTGGAGGCGGTGGTGGAGGTAGCGGTGGCGGAGGTGGAGCTGGTCGGGGCGGCGCTATGCACAGGGTCGGCTCCGGTGGTGGTCAGCGCCAGCAGCAGCAGCAGCAGCAGCGCACTCGTGAGACCCCTTCCCCCCAGCAGCTTCGTGAGTGGTACACTGCTCGTCTGCGGGGTGGGGGTGCTGGCCCCTGTACCTACGTTCTACGCACCGGCGACCGCGCGGGTGAGCAATGTGGGGGTCCGCACTCCACCCACCGCTGCTTTGGCCGCCTGACGGACTCTTGGCGTCATCCGTTCCCTGACGCTACTAAGATCCCTCGCTGGGGCGAGCTGTCTAGGGCGGGTGTTTCGATCTTTGATCTTGACTATGATGCTATTCGTGCTGCCATGTATGCTGTGACTATTAGTGATGAGGGTGACTGTTACCGGTGTTTTCCGCCTGACCCGGGCATTAAGGCTGCTGCTCTAGGTGCTTGTGAGGCTGCTGCTTTAGGTGCCAGTGAGCCTGCTGCCCCAGGTGCTGGTGAGTCTGCGCTCTCAGGTACCGCGTCGGCTCCGGCCACCCACACCTTCACCCTTGACTCGGGTGCTTCCCGCTCCTTTTTTCGAGACCGCTCCACGCTTACGCCGCTTAGTCGGCCAGTGGCAGTCTCCCTGGCAGACCCCTATGGGGGTCCTGTCCTTGCCCACTTCTCCACTGTTCTACCGTGTCCGGCGGCCCCTTTTGGCACCCTGTCGGGTCTTTACCTCCCCTCGTTCTCTACGAACTTGGTAAGTGGTGCTGACCTCCAGGATGGAGGGGTTCACCAGTTCACTCCTGCGAGTTAGCGAGTGACCCACTGTACCTGTGCTCGGACGGGCCGTCACTTGGCCACGTTTACCCGTGAGCCGGGGTCGAGCCTGTACACACTGAATACTGAGTCTCCTCCGGTCGCTGAGTCTGCTCAGGTAGCCGCGTCGGGTCACGTGTTTGCTGCGGCATCCAGGTCTGGTCCTGAGTCTGCCCCCTGCTCGTGTCGTCTCCTGTCTCACCAGACTCTCCTCTGGCACCACCGCCTTGGTCACCCCTCCCTGCCTCGTCTTCGAGGCATGGCCTCCCGTGTCCTTGTCTCTGGTCTTCCCCGGTCCCTCCCTCCCCTTCCTCCGGGAACTGCACCCACCTGCGTTCCCTGCGTCGAGGGGCGGCAGCGCGCTGCTCCTCACTCCTCCGATTTCTCCTCTGACCTTCTGCGAGCCTTCTGTCGTGCACGAGGCATCCGCCAGACCTTCACGCTTCCGGACTCTCCGCAGCAAAATGGGATTGCTGAGCGCCGCATTGGCATGGTCATGGACGTCGCTCGTACGTCCATGGTCCATGCAGCTGCCCCCCATTTTCTGTGGCCGTTTGCGGTTCGGTACGTGGCGCATCAGATCAACCTTCAGCCCTGGGTCTCCATGCCGGAGACCTCCCTTGCTTTGCTGTGGACAGGGAAGGTTGGCGATGCGTCTGCGTTCCGCGTCTGGGGATCTCGGGCGTTTGTCCGCGACTTGTCTGCGGACAAGCTGTCCCCCCGTGCTGTTCCCTGCGTTTTCCTTGGCTTCCCCCCTGACGCGCCGGGCTGGCAGTTCTACCACCCCACCTCGCGACGTGTTCTGTCCTCCCAGGACGTCATGTTTGATGAGTCAGTTCCCTACTACCGTCTCTTCCCCTACCGCACTGCGTCCCTCCCCCCCCCCCCGCCGCTCTTCATTACGCCAGGTCCCCCTCCGGTAGACCCCCTCCCCCCTCAGGGTCCTTCCCCCTCAGGTGTGTCTCAGGTAGACGCAATCGACCCTGTCAAGGTAGCTGTTGACTCTGGTGCTGCTAGGGGTGCTGAGCCTGCGGGTGCTGGGTCTGGGGGTGCTGACTCTGGGGGTGCTGAGCCTGGGGGTGCTGACTCTGGGGGTGCTGTGCCTGGGGGTACTGAGCATGGGGGTGCTACGCCTGGGGGTGCTGCGTCTGGGGGTGCTGAGCCTGGGGGTGCTGCGTCTGGGGGTGCGGAGTCTGAGGGTACTGGACCTGCTCGTGTGGCGTCTGGCGGTGCTGAGCCTGGAGGTTCTTCGGGTGCTTCGTCCCGGCGGGAGCTCCTCTCTCCACAGGAGCTGCGTGAGTGGTTTGCCCAGCGCTGGAGGCGAGCGGTGGAGCTGGAGGTGCTGCGGGTGTTAAAGGTTCTGCTGCTGCTGAGGGTGCTGGTGCCGCGGATCCCGGAGGTGCTCGTACTGGGAGTACTGGAGCTGCTGGGCCTGCGGGTGCTTCTCGTACTGGAGCTGGTGGTGCTGCGGGCGTCGGTGCTACTGAGGGTGCTGGAGCTGGACCCGCTGCGTCTTCTGGTGGTCTGGCTGGAGCTGGAGCTGCTGGGGGTGTTGGCGCTGAGGGTGCCTCTGGTGCTGGTGCCTCTGAGGGTACTGGAGTTGGCGCTGCTGGAGCTGGGGGTGCTGCTGGCACTGGTGCTGTCGTTCGGGGTGCTGGTGCTGTCCCTTCTCGTTCTGGTGGTGCTGTGCGGCCGCGGCCGTACTTCGTTCAGCTCCTTGAGCAGGTTCTTGGTCTTCCGCCCTCTGCTAGTCCAGCTCCTCCCTTAGAGTGTCCACCACCGGTCTAGTCCGAGTCACACTTACAGCTTACCTCTGCTCTGCCTGCTCCTTCTCCCTACACTGGTCCTACTGGAGGTCTTGCTGAGCGTCGTGAGCCTGCGTCTTGTCTCGCGTCGCCTGTCCGTGCTGCTCGCACTAGTAGTCGTGGTTCCCGTCAGCGTCCTCCTCCTGTCCCTGGCACACACCGGATGTCTCTGCGTCCCTCCACTGCTCCGCTGCGTGCCCCATTTGCCTTCTCCTCCTGAGTCCTCTCTTCCTGTTCTTGCTGACCCAGAGTCGGACTCCCTTCGTGCTGCCAGTCCTACTGTCACGCGTCTCCTTGCTACTGTCGTCACTAACCCTTCCTTTGAGTCCGCTGCTGCGTTTGCCTTAGTTTCTGAGCTTGTCGACTTCGCTGCTCACTGTCGCCTAGACTACGCTACTAGTCTTGTCGCTGAGTCTAAGTCTGTCTGTCCTCCGTCCGTCGGGGGTGAGTGTGCCCTTGGCACGGACGTCCTTGAGGATAGGCAGGAGGAGTCCCAGTGCTTTGCTGCTGCTTCACCTCATCTCGTGTCCATGTTGCTTGCCCTTGAGGGAGACCCGGATGCACCAAACATCCCGACTCCGCGCTCTTACGCGGAGGCGATAGAGGGTCCCTACTCCTCTCAGTGGCAGGCAGCCATGGATGCAGAGATGGCTTTCTGGAAGTCCACAGGCACCTACGTCGACAAGGTTCCCCCTCCTAGGGCGAACATCGTCAGTGGCATGTGGATTTTCAGGGTGAAGCGGCCGCCGGGTTGTCCGCCTGTCTTCAAGGCGCGCTACGTGGCTCGTGGCTTCAGTCAGCGGCAGGGAGTTGACTACTTTCAGACCTTCTCTCCCACCCCGAAGATGACCACTCTTCGGGTACTGCTTCACATAGCCGCTCACCGTGACTACGAGCTTCACTCTCTTGACTGCTGCACTGCTTTCTTGCAGGGCAGCCTGCACGAGGAGATCTGGCTGCGGCGCCCACCTGGCTTCACTGGGTCTTTTCCTCCTGGTACCCAGTGGAGCCTCCGGCGGCCAGTCTGCGGTCTCCGCCAGGCACCTCGTGAGTTGCACGACACACTGAGGACTACACTTGCGGCTCTTGGGTTTGCTCCCTCTACTGCCGACCCGTCGCTGTTTCTGCGTACCGACCCTTCTTTGCCGCCGTTCTACATCCTCGTGTATGTCGTCGACTTGGTCTTTGCCACAGCTGACACTGCTGGACTCGCCCACGTGAAGTCCGAGCTGTAGAAGAGACACACGTGCACAGACCTACGTGAACTGCGCCGCTACCTTGGCTTGCAGATCACCCGGGACAGAGCACAGCGCACCATTACCCTGACTCAGTCACACATGGTGCAGCAGGTCCTTCAGCGCTTTGGCTTCACGTACTCCTCGCCTCAGGCCACTCCTCTGTCTACTCGCCACTCGCTCTCAGCTCTGCCTTCGGATGAGTACGTAGAGTGGAGTGGCCTGTACCCAGAGCTTGTTGGCTGCCTCATGTACCTGATGACCTGCACTCGACCTGACCTTGCATACCCTCTTAGCATTCTGGCACGCTATGTTGCTCCTGGGAGACACAGTCCAGAGCACTTGGCTGCAGCGAAGAGGGTGTTGCGCTACTTGTGCAGTACGTCGGGCATGGGGCTTGTGCTTGGAGGGCGGAGTCCAGTGGTCCTCACCTGTCACGCAGACGCTTCTTGGGCTGACGACCAGGCTACGCAGCGGTCGTCACAAGGTTACACCTTCAGCCTTGGTTTCGGCTCTGTTTCGTGGCGGTCTACCCGCTCGTCTTCTGTTCTCGGCTCCAGTTGTGAGGCTGAGATCTACGCAGGGGCCATGGTTGCACAGGAGCTACGCTGGCTCACCTACCTGCTGACTGACCTAGGAGAGCCGCCTCGTTCTCCTCCAGTTCTGTACGTAGACAACAAGGCTATGCTGGCCTTGTGTCGGGAGCACAGACTGGAGCACAGAACGAAGCACATCGCTCTTCGCTACTTCCTTGCTCATGAGCTGCAGCAGCACGGTCAGCTGCGTCTTGCTTACGTGGCCTCTGAGGCCAACACCGCTGATATCTTCACCAAGGCACTTGCGCCTTGTGACCATCAGCACTTCTGTACTCTGTTAGGTCTTGTACCTACCTTGCCTCACTTGCTCACTTCTTGACTTTGCTTGTACTGTTACATATATATATACCTGCTCTTGCTTGTTTAGCATTATATATATGTGTGTCCTCATGCATGTGAACTGGCCTTGTGGCCTTGAACTTGTGCTCAGAATGTGTGGTGACGTTGTGATCCACCCTGAGCTTGCTTTGCCTTGCTTTGCTTGATTGGTCTTGTGACCCCTTGTTCTCCCCCACTTTGCCTATGGGGGTGTGTCAAACTTACATGATCTAGCCTGTGTAGGCTGTAGCGGGTTAGATACTAAGGGGTACACAATTCTAGGGTTTCATATTTGTATCATTTTCATTCCTTAGTCAATCCATTCTCGTTCTAAGTTTCTCAAGATCTATTGGTGGAAATGTTGGAATTTCGACCGTTCGATCGACTCGAATTCCAACGGCCCAGAGAATATCGCCCAAAAATGTTGAAATTTGGAGCGTCGGATTGTTTTTTTCCTCAACGGCCAAGATCGAGCGTGAATTAAGACTAAGGGAGATTCACGTGACGTACTGAATTTGCGCTCGTCGATTCTACAGTCAACTCGACTCGTAGTAAGTCGACCATCACCTAGAATTTGATTATTTTCGTCGCGCATCTTCCTGTAAATTGCCAAATTGAGGGAAATAGAGACATTTCAGTACAGAAAATCGCGGAGTTAAGTGCTGAGCATAAGCGGATACGTGCGGCGCTCCCACGACTCGAGAAACTCCTTGCGAACCAGTCTGCAACCGCCACAGCAGCAGCGAACGCAGCGGCGAATGCATCAGCGATAGCAGTAGCAGCAGCAGCGGCGGAGGCGACACCAACAATTCTATCTGTGACAACGGCAGCAGTTACAGTTAACCTCGAAGAAGTGAAGCCGTGACTACCGGAGGCGTTCGATCCTACAGTTAAAGGGAACGACGTTCGTCGATTTGTAGCTGAACTAAAATTTTATTTCGAAGCCGTTGGATGCACGACCCTGACAAAAGACGCAATGCGCATACGGCTCGCAGCAACACTGTTACGAGGCCCAGCTCTAGAGTGGATCAACAACAGTACAGT